TTCATACAGGTTCAGAACAACTTGAAACTGAGTCAATGATGACAGTATTTAAATTTTTGGGTGAACTATATCCCTTTAAAATCTCATCATATAATGCCAGGATCTCATAATAGCCAACTAGTGCACATGCTTTATTTTTAACTATTAACGTTCATTTAAGACACAAATAACTGTGTTGACGAGGAGACAGGCATTTTGACACATAACTATGTGTATTCGAACATTTAAACACAAGGCGCGAAAAATAACTCTTAGTTTAGTCAGGCGCTGTACGAGCAAGTATCAGAAACCATCTTAACGCGCGCATTTGCCAAAATGAATCTGCCCCACTGCTTAATGTCCCTGAACAGTTCAATTAGTTTTTAAAACAAGATGCTTAAAATGCGTTTAAATGAAAAGCTTACATCATGATGCTCAAAATGAATTTCTCAACCCATAAGCGAATATACTAGGCCTATAGAGTTTGTTCAAAAACAAAAAGCAACATCTATCAAGTTAATAATCAAACTAACCTAAAAGCTGTGGGGATTATGTGTTTTTATCTGCTCCATGTGTCCGGTCCATTTGCGGTTCCACAACTCCCACTCCATCATCAGCTTTGGTAAAATAAACTAGCTGTGGATTTTAGTCACACTCATGTTTTCCCCTCTCTCCTCATTTTTTATTTTTTTTTTTTAGAATAGTTGATATTTTTACTTATCGAAGATTGTTCTTTTCATGACCGTTTCTAGATTACACCAGAATGAAGTGAATAGAGGTAAATGCAGACATTAGGCGCAGCGATCACCTGATAGATAGACTACGTGCACAGTTTGTTCAAAAGTAAAATATATAATAAATGCATTTGATTGGTAAATTAAATTCAAATGTGGCATTTTAATCTCTAATGGTAATGCATGGAATTTATGAAAAAACTCACTAAATAATAGATCCTTGCTTGGGCCCCGGGGCTTCAGCCCCACCTAGCCCAATGGTTAATACGGCCCTGCTGACAAGCACAACATATACATTATAATTCGTCAATTCACTTAACGGATTCGTTGTCAATGCTGTTTCAGAGCAATGCTTGAAAATGACCACTAGGTGTCACTGTAGAGACGGGTGTCGAATTGTTTCGAAGCCTCTGCACATTTGCTTCGACTGTTTCAGTGTTTCATGAAGCCTCGCTCTGCCCACCACTATCTGTATCTAAGTTGATTATAGCCTACTCTTGACCGAGATCTGGTTTGGTTTTTGAGAGACCGAGACGCGCAGAGACGGCAACGCGGCTGTTTGATTGGCGATTGCTCTGTGCTTATTCCATTCATTCGTGTATTATATCGTAACCTATAACGTTTAAATCATTGCCTTTTAAATATACACAACTAGTAGAATGTGTATGATGTATTGTTTTAGTTGATATTACTCTTGCCAAGCTCTGATTTCTGAGAGATGCACGGAGAAGCAACAGCAATGTTTGATTTGCGCTCTTTTCATTCATAAAGTTTACATTCATTCACTTCACACACTCATTATCGCGTGACTTCAGAGGTTTGTGTAAAATATCGCACTGATCCCCTGGCCCACCCCCTTTTTCTAGCAAACACCAGACTGTGCCAGCCTCAGCCGAATATTCGGGCAGAATTATTCGTTATCCGTTATTCGTTTTTGAAGCCATTATCCGTGCCTTTTCGAATAAGGTATTCGGCTTCGGGCACACCCCTAGTTGGCAGTGTGTGTACACAACCACCCTATAATGATAAAAATCCACCCAGTGGTATCCCTAAAGTCCCTATAAAAAATATCACTTTTATCTAATCAAGCCCTTATCAGATTCTTGGCTTGTGACGTCACACAGACCCAGGCCCCTCCCACGATTGTTGATTGACACTAGCGTTTTACCTCAGACCCGCCCTGAGTGAGCTGTCATCAGTCCGCCATTGTTTGGCCGCCGGAGCAGATGTAAGAATGGCTTCTAAGCGATTGAGGTGTTCTGTTGTTGGATGTAATAATGAACATAGCAGTCGTCATTTACTCCCGACATCTGAGCCACTGAAGATGTAGTGGATTACGTTTGTTTTTGAAGGGAATGCACCCCCCGATCTACTTAAATGCGTCTATGTTCGTGCGAATCATTCGTGATCCAGCTTCACCTCCAGAAGAAGTGAGTATAAGGTTTTTTAATGAATCTTTGCAAACCGCCTTTCCTAATAATGTGCTAATTAGCAAGTTTCACGATGAATGCGGCTAAAGCAAACAGTCCCTCAGGGACAGCTCGGAAGATCTCTGTATTTGGTGTAACAGAATATGTTGACATGCTTTAATGTTCAAAAAACACATTATTTTTCAAATACTGTACATTATTGTAGGTCCTCTATGCCCCGCCTCTCTCAAACGCGTCGTTTTCAACAAAGCCCCCTCCTTTGACAAGCGCAGTCTGCTCTGATTGGCCAGCTGACCCAGTGCACTGTGATTGGCCGAACGCCACACGCACGCGTCGGAAATGTAACGGCCCTTACCATAATCGCGAGCTTCTTTCGCACTGAAACACAGTGTCTCCCTGACATGCTGCATCAACACTACTGCTGTTCCTGAAACCACGCCTTCTTTCTTTGCGTGCACATTTGGGCAGGATTATGCTAATATTTCCACATATTGATGTAGATATGTTGGGGCGTGTTAGAACAAGCCGTTTTAGGAGGGCGTGGCTGACTCTTAACTTTTATAAAGAATATCTCTTTGGATTTGAGACTTTAGTCTTTGCAACTTTACAGATCTTCTTTATGCACCAAGAGCTTGTAACACTCCAAAGAGAAAGGAAAAATTTGAAATCGCATCATATGACCCCTTTAACATTTAAAGGAACATGCACTAAAACGGATTGTTGTGTGCAGAGCTGTTTTTGACAGGATAAAAAGGGTGTTTTTACACTACCATTGAGACATTTTAACCAAAGTATGTTATAGACTTTTCATTAAGACGCTAAAGAATCATATCAACTTGTGGAAAATGGGCATCCGATGACCCCTTTAATTCTTGTAAAGTGTCATTAGTTTGTTCCAGCTTGATCTCTGCAGTGAATTGTGTTGATATCAGTGATCAGCACACAGACATTAGAACGTGTCACTGCTTAAAACATGAAGGTTTGGTTTTCTGTCTAATTGTTGTTCATTGATTGATTGATTGATTGACTGCTGTGTTTGTGTTGTTCAGTGTCTGTGGTGTTTGTGCTGGTCTGGTGTCTTCAGCTGATGGTTCTGTTGGGTCTGTTAGGAGGTTTTCACATCTACATGAGACACACGTCAGGTGAGAGACGTTTATCATCATCATTATGGGTTTGACATGCAGATATTAAGAGTGTGAAGATGATGATGATGTGATGCTTTTAGGAAAGAAGCAGGAAGATCAGAAAGTGAGGATGAGAAGATTTAGAGAAGGACCTGAACACACAGCAGAAGATTCATGAGAGCAGCAGCAGATCATCACATCTATGAGAAATAACTTCATAATGTCACCGATTCTCACATCAATCCAGCTTTCAGCTGTCGACAGCAGATCTTATAATATAAACCCAAGAGATTAATTAAAACCAGGAGATATGAATTAAACCAGACTTTCTACAGTTTTAGTTATGAAGATTATTTTCTGGACATTTGTCTTTTGTAACAGTTTTATTGCTTATATTACTTATTTATCTGCACGCATTGAAAGTACTATAAGTTCATTTATTTCATTACATGAAACCCCTTCTGATTATCACTGATAAAACTTGTGTTTCTCTGAATCAGATCTGTCACATTGTGTTTATTTTCATATGTTCTTTTACTTTATTCTGTTGTTTTGGTTGATTTTTTTCATTTACAGCGTCTGTTTAGATGTTTTATCTGTTTGAAGCTCTTGATCTGTTTCTCAGTTTTGTAGTGTCTGTTGTTTTGCTGTCTGTGGTTTGGTTTTGCTTGAATTTGCAGTTGAGTTTTAACATATAAAACCACATTCATGCATTATTCTTCACAAGATATTTGCATCATTATAGAACATTGCTAAACATGCCCTTCTTTAGACGTTGTAAATGGGGTCATTGCTGAATTAGTTTGAGTTAAATGTGAAAGTAAAACACTTTGAAATGAAACAGTATTTGCCGTCAAAAGTCGCATACTCATAAAATGTTTATATTTTAACAGTCAATTAACATTTTATCCAACAGAAAGCACACAACAATGAATTGAAACATGAAAACGTGTATAAAAACAATACATCCAGACAGAAATCAAATGATTTGTAGCAAATATTTTCAGCTATAACTCTTGTTTCCTCCTGCAGATGTCACTCATAACAAAGACAATGTGTTTTGTCTTTGATAGCAAACTTTAAGTCCATACAGTATAGAATTATATTATTCCTGATTTGAGTTTTAAAAAAGTTTATTTGTAGTTAAACTTAATCTCTGTTACAAAACTATGTGGTTAAAACATAAAATTGTGTCACATGCGGAATAGTTTGACGACAGTCACTGATCTTGAGGTAAATGAGGTCAATATTGTGTTTCCAGCAAAATCCAACCCGAGGTCTGAAAATATAGATTACTTGCAGGCGTAGCATAGTGAATCAAGAAAATAAGCATAAAAATAAAGAGCACAAACATGACGTTTTAATGTACTGAGATTAATTAATGAATAATCCGTTAATGTTTCATTGATTATTAATTATTCATTCGTTAATTTTAACTAAAAACATCCTTAATGTAGCTTTAATTATAAGTTAAGTTAAGGTAAATCAGATTAAGCTCATTTGAACCCTGTTGTTCTGAGTGAAATGAGATCAGATGGCTGTGAAAGAGTGCAGCTGTAGTTGTAGTTTCCTCCTGCAGGTTGCGCTCTCTACATCAGCAGCTCTGAGCAGATACAAACTCAATGAGTCCCATGAGTCTCTGCTCCAGTCAACAGAAGATCACAATCCTCTCTTCATTCACATGTGAACTGACTGCATCCGAGTCAAACATCAGCACACACTCACTGAGATTACACATTACACATTGTGCATTCCTCTCAATAAAACTGTCCAGAGCATTTCATCAATACAGTAAAGATACGGTTTTATTTGATCTGTAAAAGAATCTGTGAAGTCATTTGCATAACTAGTCATTTTACTTCACTCCAAAAACAACAAAACTCGCTTCTAAAACAAGATTTTTTGCACTTTTTTTTGTGTTAGAAAATGTGCCTGATAATTGTTCTTTCTTTCTCTTGGTTTCTCTTGTTTTAGATGTATTGTAGAGCAAACTAACAGCATGTGTCTTAGAGAAAACTTCCTCTTTCCTCAGTAAAGCGGTGAGAGGTTTCCTCATGTCAGTCTAGTGTGAGTCTCGCTGTGAAGACGCTTGTGTTGATGAGAGCCAGAACACAGACGATCTGAAGCAGCGTCACACTCTTCTGCTGGACTTTAGTGAAATGATGCTCATCTTTGGACTGATGCTGCTGCTGCAAACTGCAGCATGTGAGTCACTTTCACATCAAACTCTTGCTATGATTCTGTTCATTCAGATCAATCTCTGAAATAAAAATATAATGCTACATCAAGAGTCTGCAGTGATCTACTTATAGAGTTTTCTGATGTTCAACAGTTTGTATTAGTAAAGTATTACAAAATGTGAGAGGAAGTGTTTTTCTATCTTCATGTTCATTGTGCTGAGAAGTTTTAGTGTTTTGTAAATGTATATGTTTATTTTAACTTTTTTATATAAAGCAGGATTCATCAAATGATCTGTCTCCATTAAATATGATATCAGAATGATCAAGACATTATTAATAAAGATACAAATGTCACAGTAAGGGATTGAACAGAAAGTACAGGACAAAATGTATTCTGCATGTTAACATATTATTTTATATAGTATCAGAATATCTGTATAATATTTTAACATGCAGTTCAGAAAAAAACAATGTAGACCGTGAAAGCATGAGATTTTAATTGGAATAACGTGTGTGTGTGTGTATGTGTGTGTTTTGTTCTTCAGGTCTGGATCGGTTCTGCAGGTTTAATCAGTCAGATCCCTGTTACACAGCTCTGGGACACAAACTCAATCTGATGATGGTGCTGGACGCTAGTGAATATGACCTGAAGATCATAAAGAGAATAATCAACACAGCAGATGGCCCAGTTTGTAGAGTAAAGAATGGCAGGATGAGGGATTGTGATCTTTATAATAACAGACCTGGAGTGACCGTCATTAATGAGACTCTGATAATAAACCGTGTGATCAGAGCAGATTCAGGGAATTACAGATTAAAACTCGATAGCTCAGACGGCACAGAAACATCTAGAGATCTTCAAGTGATTGTTGAAGGTACAGAAACTCTCTCATCAGACTCATTACAATCTCATGTTCTCCAAAGATCTCACTCTCATGCAAATGAATCAGTTGAATCTCTGTGAAGGTTTTTATTCCTGTAGCACACAGTAAACACACTACAGACTCCAGTAATAGTACGAGTCGTGTGGAAGAACAAGATTCTCCTGTGTTTGTCATGTGACTGTGATGTGTCCCTCCCTCCAGCTCCTATTGGCTCAGTGGAAGTGTCAATCATCTGCTCCTCCAGTGGGGTGATGAGGGTGTCCTGCTCCTCTGAGGGGGATCCGCTCCTCTACAGCTGGACTCTGAATGGAGATCCACTGATGGATGGAAACAGCAGCATTGATCTGGATGAGGGAACTGATGGAGACATCAGCTGCAGCGTGAAGAACCACGTCAGTCACGCACAGAACACCATTAGACTCAAACCCTGTGCTGGTGAGATTGTAATACATAAATGTCCACACATTTGTTAACAACAGCAACAAGAGTGATGCAGAATCTCACAAAACCTGTCAAAACCACGTCAAACTCATGTTGTACCTCCTAAATTAGCAGTATCTCTGAAGCATATTTTGATGGATTGTGATGGTTTTAACTCCTATAGGACTCTTTATAAAGGATTTTGAATAAATTAAGAACAGATTTAGGCTCGATTTAGATTTTTTTTTTTTATGAAAAATAAACTTTAAAAACCTTTTTGTTTGTATTTGTTGTTTATATAGTTTATTTATTTATCTATTTACATTTTCTATTTTTCACTTGTTTCTCGGTCGGCAGTCACTGGCATGGCACTAAATTATAAACAGCAAACAAACATTTCACCCCAAAATCAAATTTTATATTGCATAAATAAAATGAGAACTATTTTACAAACTGTAGTTATTTACAGTTATTTTTTTTTGTAATTGCAATTATTTACAGCAATAATTGTTATTTGGTTGTTATTGATACATTTTTACTTATAATATGCAATATGATCATTTAATCTGCATGGTTTGAAGACAGACAGGTGTTTGTTTATTTGGATCCCCATTAGCTTCCACAAAGTGGTTGCTAATCTTCCTGGGCTCCACAAATCTGTACAAGACAAAAAGTCATTCAAATAAGTGAAATAAGAACAAAAATACAATTTCACTAATTCCATCACAAAACTATACATCTACATATTTATTACCATATCTTTACATGTTATTTAAAACATATATGTGCAATTACTCTTTTGTTTATTTATGGGAACCATATTCCAAACAAGTCTTGCATCATTTTTTTTTTTTTTTTTTTTGTGGACATGGTAAAAAGATTTGAGCATTACTCACTTGACATGTTTTAAAATCATGTCTAAATCCCACATATACAAGCTTTACAAAAAAAACAGGGTGTGTGATACTTGATTATCTTATGAAAATATACCAACAGTCGTAAATGTAATTTAACCTTCACCGACAGCCATGATGACTTACTATGCACGTCACTAACATAAGCTCGACATGGATAGTGAAGCACTAACCTGGCTGCTCTGTTCTGAACCATCCCAAGTGTTTTTAGGTGTTTCTCAGATGCACTTGACTATACCATTGGGCAGTACTCAAGATACCATAAAACTAATGACTGCACCACATCTTTTAAAACTAAAGATGAATTAAATTCAGAAACATTTCCTGGCCACCGCTATACCTTTTCCCATAGTGCTTACTATATAATCTATATGTTCAAACCAGGACAGCATATTGTCAAGTTTCACACCCAGCAGCTTAACAGTTCTTACTTGTTCCAATGGCATCCCATCAATAAATAAATTCAAGTCAGCAGCCTTAGTAATATTTTTATAACTAAAATGATACATTTAGTTTTTCTATATTTAAATATGTACAATAAGTACTGCCGTTACAGTATGCATACTTTACAATTTCATAATATAATTACTTTATACATATTATGTTAATCATAATTATTATAGTTTTTTTTTCTTTTTGCATTATCATAATGAGAATTTAGGGGGGTTTTTTTGTTTGGATTTTCCTTATATATCAGAAATATGATTTGAGGGATATATACAGTCTAATGCCCCTAAAGCATTATACAAAATATTACGTACTACTTACAGTTTTGCTTTTGATTTTGAACTGATATGTGACCTGACCATGTTTCATGAGATTCAGACAAATAAATTCTCTCAACTGGCCAATTAATTCTTCAAAATTATCAATGCAGTAATTTCTATTAATAGAGAAAGCAGATGATTCTGTGCTGATGTTTTATTTCAGGACCAACTACTGCAGCTGTGACCTCTAGTTTGACCTCTAGTGTGACCTCTAGTGTGACCTCTGCAGTGACCAGCAGCACACAGACATCAGAAAATGATACAAGTTTCTCATCGGCTGGTATAAATGTCACCATGAATGTCACACCAAGCCCTGAAGCATTTCGATGGATGTGTGAGTGTTGAGATCCAGGCTCTAGCTAATATGATTTTTTAACTAATTCACTGTGCTATTAACTGCCTGCATGTAGTTGTTACAGTTGTTTTTCTTGTTGCTGCTGCGGTTGGTGTGAATGAACATTTTGAAGCAGTTCTGGAGTTTGACTTAAATGACCTTGGGTTTTTCTTCCATAGTTTTACTCTATCCGATTGCTTTGGGCTGCGTTGCTCTGCTCCTGATTCTGGTGTTCATCACCGTATGTTACGTTTACAAGAAAAAAACGCTGAAGTCGACATCAGGTCAGTTCATTTAAAATCTGTAGTTCATATACTAACTGATGAAGATTAAAATGTAGTACTATTCAATGCAAGCTGCAATTACAGAGTCAAACACATGGGTTACTATGCCTTCAAATTCTGAGATTTCTAGCTTATATGATGTAGGTCCTGAAGTATTCGGACACTGACTGAGTTCTTGTGCTTTTGCCTTTATACACCACTACAATGGATTTGAAATAAAACAATTAATATGTGATTGAAGTGCAGACGTTTAGCTTTATTTTAAGAGGTTCCACAAAAATATGACATTTACACTCCATTTTCAGGGGCTCAATAGTATTTGGACCATGTGACATGACCAAGTATAAGCACAGTTTTAATACTTAGATGAAAATCCTTTGCAGTCAATGAGTGTAGCCCATGGACATCACCAAATTATGAGTTTCCTTCATGGAGATGCTTTGCCAGATCTTCACTGCAGCCACCTTGAGTTGCTGCTTGTTTGTGGGTCTTTCTTCCTTCAGTCTGGTCTTCAGTAACTGAAAAGCATGCTCTGTTGGATTGAGATCAGGCGACTGACTTGGCCATTAAAGATTATTCCATTTCTTTGCCTTCAAAAAGTCTTTAGTTGCTTTCGCAGTATGTTTAGGGTCATTATCCATCTGCACTGTAAAGCTGCATCCCATCAGCTTTGTAGCATTGGCTAAGTGTGAGCAGAGAGTATAGCCTTGAAGAGCTCAGAATTCATCCTGCTACTTCTGTCAGCAGTTACATGATCAATGATGAGCCTGTTCCATTGGCAGCCATGCCATAACACTGCTCCACCATGTTTGACACTTGATGTGGTGTGCTTTGGATTTTTCTTTCGCCATGCTTTTCTCTTCCCATCAGTTTGGTACAAGTTAATCTTGGATTCATCAGTCCAAAGAATCTTATTCCAGAACATGGTAGGCTTTTTTAGATGTTTTCTATCAAAGTCTAATCTTGCTTTCCTGTTCTTGAATGTTACCAGTGGTTTGCACCTTCTTGTAAACCCCCTATATTTACATTCATGAAGGCGTCTCTTGATTGTAGATTTTGGCAATGATGTGCCTACCTCCTCCAGATTATTTTTAATTTCTGTTGATGTTATGAAGGGGTTTTTCTTCAGCAAGGAAAGGATTCTGCGATCATCCACTTTAGTTGTCTTCCGTGGTCTTCCAGGCCTTTTGATGTTGTTGAGCTCACCAGAGCTTGCTTTCTTCTTAAGAATGTAGCCAACCGTTGATCTGGCCACACCTAAGGTTATTGCTATCTCTCTTAAAGGGGTCCTATTATGCTCTTTTACAAAGTCTTGATTTTGTTTTGGGGGTGTACTAGAACATGCTCTCATGCTTGGTGGTTCGAAAAAAACGCATTATTTTTCACATAATTTACATTATTACAACACCTCTCTCCCCAGCCTGGCACAAATGGCTCGATTAGTTCCGGGTTTGATGAAGGCCCGCCTTCCGAAAAACAAAATGTGTTGTGATTGGTTAGCTGTCCCAGTGCGTTGTGATTGGCGAACAGCTTAGACGGTGTTTCAGTACTGCCACGCCTCTTGCTCTGTCTTTCAACAAAAGCGTCATCCGCTTTCGGAAGCCCAAACAAAGACGTTTGGGCATGGGGGTGAACAAAACAGCGTTTCTTAAGACGGTCGCATACCGGACGAGAAGCACAGTGCAGTGTCGCATCACGCCACGTCTTTAAAATTCGAACACATTATTTTCTATGAGTGTACTCACACCGGTGGCGCCGTTCGGCGTCTGTCCGCGGCGCCCAGCTACGTCATGTTGTACTTGTTGTAAGAATTGTTCTAGACACGGCGCTGCGCTTCTCGTCCGGTATGCGATCCTTTAGACATGCCGAAACTTGACACTACAGCAGCTCTTCTTCTTCGTTTTCTCTGATGCAATAACTCTGCAGCAGCACTTCTTCGTCGTCGTCGTCTTGTCTGATGCACTCATCCAAGCGTTCTAACCTCACCCCTCCCCACCCCCCAACCATTCGAATTTCTGTAGGCGGGAATTATTTGTAATGATATTCCAATGAGCCGCTTTGTGATATCACAAAGCCCGGAAAACAAACGCTGTAGTCCAAACGAGCC